AGCCAAATTACTGTAAATATTACGGTAATTTTACTTTAATTTTTATGGTAATAAAGCAGCAGCTTATATTCTGATTTGACAAATACCCAATTGCAGGTGTTTATGTAGGACAGTGAGTATGTTACTACATAACATCAATACAAAAGTCGAGCCATATATTACCTAATAAAGGATCACCAGATTTTTTGAAAATTAGTTCCTGAGTTTATTGCTTTTTCAAGTAAGTATTTACATATTATTTTAAGTAATTCTATAAAAACAAATACCAATATATACCATTCATTTTGTCAGTCAATAGAGCTGTTTCTGAAAGACATACAGTAAGATGAAATTCTCACAAACTGAACTAAATGGTTCCAGTTCAAATCCTAGTTCCATAACAACGACCCGAGCTAATTAGCCCGCAGCTTTGATGACACTACTACAACGCTAAGATTCCTTCCGTAGAGCGGTTTCTTTTCCACACGGACTCCCTATAATTATATTTGAAGCTAACAGTTGATTTGACCATTGTCATGTCTCAGCGGTGTCTGTGATTATACTCGGAGCTGGTGTCACAGAGCAGGTGACCCGCGGTGCGACAGGAATAAGCTCCGGCGCTAATAAAGGCTAATGATGACGGTTCCCAAGGCCAATCCAATGTCACTTAAGTCGTGTCTCCTGGGTCAACCAGGCTCTTCACACACACACAGACACAGATGTGATGTAACCATGTCTTTGCTGGAGGACGCTAACGTCTCTAACGTTGGAGATGAGTTCGATTCCTTCATTAACTATGAAGGATCTCAGAAAAGCAGATTCAAGCAGATTAAATATTTGTATGTTTTTAACCTATGTTCACATGTGGATCTGAGACTGTAACACTTTTACCATATTATTTCTAAAGCACAATTCCGAGGGAGACTCTTGAAGTCATCACAAGACATATCTGTATGACTGGAGGACGCCTGAACAAATGTACCGTAATTTCTACAATATAAGACACTACTTTTTCACACGCTGCGGCTTAAACAGTGATGCGGCAAATTTATGGATTTTTACAGGCTAACGAAGTTCATACCGCTAGCGTTCAATGACTTTTCTGATAGGCTACTGTGTGTTAAGCTAGTAGCGTATGTCTGTCTGTGAACGGCCGCACAAGAGAGAGAAAACGGTAGCGAAAGTTGAGAGCAGTTGTCGCCCTGTCATGTTGAAGCGTGAGTTGGTTATAGAGAAGCTGTTGGACAAGGGAATTAGCCGCGGAGCTAATGTTAGCTTCGGCCGTGGAGCAAATCACCAAGTCTCCCCTGTGCATTCCAACTACGGTCGGGCGCCGAAGCAGGAAAGAGCTAACGAGTAACCAGCCGTGTTACAGGCACTTGTCTTGCGTAACATCTTTCTGTGGCGTATATATATGTACTATTATTTTTTTCTTTTTAAATGTAGTGGGTGTGGCTTCATATTCACGTGCGCTCAATAGTCCGGAACTTACAGTTGTGTCCTGGCCCTCTGTCTGTCAGCAGTGAATTGGCCGCGGTGTAAGGACATCATTTAGGCCCTCGCGCTGCGTCAATACCGACCGTATCGACTGCCTTAAACAGTTAATGGAAGCCTTCAGGGCAGGAAAGCTAATTAAAATCATATGCGGGTCAAGCTCGTTTAAAGACTCCACATTAGTTTATGTTGAGCTTGACCACACTTGAGTGGAAAATCCATTCATTGGGCGTCGTAATTGACTGGTGTTTCTAATGGCTTTGGAATGATCCTGCATTTCAGGCAAACACTGACCGTCCCTTTGGAAGTTTTTTTTTTTTTTTTTTTTTTTGCTATAAGTCTTAAACCTGAACTCCACAGTCATTATTGTTGCCATTATCTCTTGCTTAAGACAGTGATGAGCTCGTTAAAATAAGGTCACTTCAACCTTTATGTCGTGGAAACAAATCTAAAAATAAGAATGTAATTTTTTTTTTTGTAAAAAGAAAAGAAAAGTCTTAAGACTTTCTTAATTAGCTACAAAAATAAGATATCATTGGTTTATGGGTGAAGACATTAAAAAGCTATTAACACATTGTTGTTGTTTTTTTTAATATATACAGTTTATCTGCAAAATTATAGTCAGGCATCTGCATTATATTGTTTTCATATTTTTGAAAAATAAAACCAACCAAAGGTGGAACAAATGACAATAAAAACACTTTTCATCATTTTTCTATAATTGGATGCTGAACTTCTACCAAACGCTGACGTTCCGTGAGGATATTTTTCCATCGTGGTTCACCTGCACCGTAGTCTAGTCCTGTTTTTATTCCATTTTATTTACATAGCCCACAAACAGTGCATGGGCAAACTAAGGCCCGGGGGCCACATGTGGCCCGTTCAGCTTTATAATCCGTCCCTCCAAACTTTTCCAAATGTATTTATATTACCATTATACTTCTGCCTTTTCCCTGCAATACCCACATTTCTCCAATAGATGGCGTAGAAAATGATAAAAGCATTTTATGCAAGGCTTTTACATGTCATTTATCTTCATCTACGTTTGCCCCCGCCTGCTGTAGAGAGTCTAGAAATTCATTTTTGCTTCAACAAAGCGCTTCATTAAAGAGAGTGGAAGCAGAAAAAAAAAATCCTCAGGAGAGGATTTATTCTTTTTCCCTAATACACAGGACACAAGGAGCTCAGCAAATAGGCACAAGTTAAATGGCTGTAAAGAAGGTTAGTTATATAATATTAAATTAAAAGGTGTCAGTGGAAAAATATCACTGCTGTGCTGAAAAAAAAACAGGTTTTATTTTATACCTTGCACCTTATTTTACTCACAGACTTTATTTTATACCTTGCACCTTATTTTAAAACAACTAATGTGCAGATTAAATACATGTACCACACACACACACACGTGTACTCCCATCCAATCTGCAGATTAAATACATGTAACTCACACACACACACACACGTGTACTCCCATCATGCCCTTTCACTCTGATTACACCAACATTAGCATCATTAGCTGTTTTCACTCACGCATGATATTGCATTCCTCTATATTTGCCACAATTATGTCACCGGCCAATAACGTGTCAGTTGTCAGGGAGAAGCCAAGCATTCAAATAAAATTGCTGTAGAATTGACTGTTGCTCTTTCCGCTGCGGTAGACCTCACCTTTTCAGCCCTGAAAAATGTAGCAGCCTTGTTGTTGATTAACTGCGGCTTTGTCAACGCAGTAACAAGATGTTTAGTCGGTGATTTACTGGAGTGAGCCACAGTTTTTTGGGGTTTTTTGTCGGGTGAAATTGTGGTTGATTTTGTTAGAGTTGTTCTGTGTCCAGAAAAATAAAATTCTGAGAACAAGACTGATGGTTTTGTTTAAGTAGGTCACAGTCTGGAGTGGTCGTCAGAGCCGGACCAGTCCTGGTAAATATGGACCTGAATGTTCTGTTTACAGTGCATTCATTGTTTTAAAACTCGTGAGACATTAGTGGGAGTTTTTTTTTTTTTTCAAGATTTAATATTTTTCTGTTTTTGTTATTGAAGAAAATAAAGAGTGACATTAACAGCAGAGACATTTTTGAGCGCGGTGTTAACAAACAAACAGGAGACGGAGAGAAAAATGGCAAAAAAAATATTACTTGCAAACAAGGAACATGACATATAACAGTTGTGTGAATGAAAGGATCCTCTTTATTGTTAATAAACCTGCAGTACTGCAGTTCCACAGAGTACTTTGATGACCCTATATCTGACCTCCAACATACAAATGTCTCAGCCCACTTTAAGTGTTAAGAAGTGCACATAAAGC